GCAACAACCACCAGGACTTTTCCTTACGTAGGTTTTCGTTTTGGGGTCTAAACTTAAACGTAATATACATACATACATACATACATACATACATCCATCCATCCATCCATCCATCCATCCATGCATGCTTGCATGCATGCATGCACCCATGCAAGCAACGCAGTGCAATGCTTGGCTTTGCATTGCCTTAACAAGAGGTTGCATTGCATGCATATCTGTGCTCATGAAAGACTATATACCGACATACATGCGTGCCTAGCCACATGTGTTCTCGGAGTCTGTCTGTCCATCCTCGTGTAAGTGTATATGTATGCACTGATGCATGCATGTAAGTGTGTATGTAGGTAGGTAGGTTAGGTAGATTGGTAGGCAGGTAGGCAGGTAGGTAGGCAGGCAGGCAGGTAGGCAGGTATTCAGGTAGGCAGATAGGTAGGCAGGTAGGCAGGTAGGCAGGTAGGCAGGTAGGCAGGTAGGCAGGTAGGCAGGTAGGCAGGTAGGCAGGTAGGCAGGTAGGCAGGTAGGGAGGTAGGTAGGTAGGTAGGTAGGTAGGTAGGTAGGTAGGTGTATGTAGTATGCACGGTACACATACACGTGTATATGATTATATATATATATATATGCGGGTGTGTGCGTGTGTGCATGCAAATTATGTGGTCTAATGGTGCAGTGAGTTGTGGTCCAAGCAAGCTTGGTAGTAGATTCATCTGAACGATTCATACATGCATGCGTGTTTGTTTCGCGGGCTTACAGACATATGTTTATGCGCACACAGAGAGGAGCTCACATGCATCGTGAATACAGAGAAGCAATCATGCTTACAGCCAGCATCGTTTTGCCAGATCGTTCTTAGACGGAAGTCCGGAGCCCGGAGCTTTTTCCTCTGACCATCTTTTGATCTTAGGCACTGCTCCAGCGCGAAGCCCATGTTCCACAGCAGCACGGCACCTGGCAAGTCAGAGGCTCCAAAGATCCCCCTGGTTCAGAAATAAGGGTTTAGAGGCAAAGGTTTCAAAGGAAGAAACTCTTGAAGGTTTAGGGTTTGGGATTTTGTGTAGCACGTTGAAGGCTTAAGAGTCTAGGGGTTTCAAGGGTCTCTGATGAAGTTCTCATTCACAAAGGCTCATGTAACGAATAGACAGTTCAAGGTCGTAACAGGTATTGGGGCACATTGGAGCCTTTAGGCACCTGCACCTCCAGTCGTGGCTTCAAAGATGTAATTTCAGAGCTCTTGCCTTGCAGCATGCCGGACCTCACAGGACAATCCTTTCACGCCCGGACCAGCCGGACTCCGTGACAACAAACATGTGAGATCCTGAGTGTCTGGAGCACCTCTGCTTGCCTGAAAGCAGCCTCCGTACCCATACCTGTCGCCATGTGTTACTACTGTTCATCAAGTCCCGTATCCTGGACCCCTGATCCTGTGAGCATCATCGGGCCTGCCACGGTTTCAAGCGTGCCCGTGACCTTGCGAATACGCCGAGCATGCCAAAAGGCCTCCATGGCCCCTGGGCGAGGCTGGCCAGAGTGCAAACTGCAACAAATTGACAAAGGACTTCTTGCAGCCTGTGCATTGCAAGGGATGTCCTGGTGAGTCCTAGTGAGCATAAGTGTCCATCGCTTCCTTACCCACGAGCTTTTCGGCTCAGGAAGGCACAAAATTATGACGTGTGGATAATGTGAAAGTCAGACAGGGATCCACGGACTTTTAAACAAGAACTGGCGACACCTTGCACTTTGTGTGAGGATGCTCTCTCATGAGGCTGTGCCTGACAGCCGAGCTTTTCAGGATGACGTGACGACTGCACAGAAGGGGCAAAGGTAATGGTGAGAGTTATCGTCATGTTGCGACGAACTAGAATCACGACACTGATTCCGTTCTGGGGGACACCGGCATCACCAACAAGCATCACGAGAACCCTGGCCAGCCAAAGCAGTCTTGAATTAAGCACCTTCCAAAAGCTAGAATCTCTGGCTCTTCCGCAGGGGTATAGGGTTTAGGAGTTATGCAAGCTATGCCGTCTGGGCCAAAACCACGACGTATATTTTCGGTGCTTATGTACGAGGCACTCGGCCTTGGTGATCCCCGGCATCACCCTTGGCAACACCCATGTGGGTCAGCAGCGTGGCGATACTGGGCGTGTCCTGCTTTGCACGGGAAGCAATTGAGCTCGGCTCGGTTCCTGAAACGCCCCAACCATTAAGGGGGAACCGAAGCAGCCAAAACCACCGCCGCAATCCCCCTACAAGTGCGCCACTCCAGCATTCCAAAAAACCCAAAAGGTTGAGATCTCTTGTCCTGCTGGCCCGCGCGCTCGAACAGCGAGCCGGCCAACTGGAACACCTGAAGCAGGCTTTCGGACAGCGCTGCTTTCGGACATTAAATTCTCGAAGTCTTGGCCTTAAAGTCCGTGACTGGCTTCCCCAACCCTCGGCGCTCCGCAGCTTCCCACTCTTCGGGCCCTATGCAAAAAAAGCGGCCTGTGACGATGACCTTATGATCTTGTGGGATTAGGGTTTAGGGTTTATAAAATAGGGACATGTACGAGTCGGATTGGCGCCAACTGGAGGCCTCGAGGTTGGTCATGGCTTTGTTGACCTCCAGGCGGCTGGCAGCTGCGGCGCGGTTTGAGCTGGCAGGGAAGATGGACTGCAGAGCCAGCTGTAGCCTAGCGGCCGTTGCAAACAAGAAAACGCAAGAATGACCCGACCAAAATGAAAGCCAGCAAAAGCAGCTTGGGCCCCAACCCATCTTGAAGAAGCTCCTCGGAAATCCAAGCAGTGCTTCTTCTATTGGAAGCCCCTTGAAAACGGCTGAAATGCACATACTGTCCTTCATGTGCTCGTCTCCCAAACCCTTGCTTTTTGCTGCAGAACATCCGAAACATCTCTGATGAAAAGAAGAGTACCGCGAGACTCCAAAGCATAAGCCCAGAGCTCGGAACCCGAAGCTTCGGGTTCAAAGGCATAATGATAGGGGCCTTAAACTTAATAATTAGAATGGGGTTTTGGGGCAAATAATAACTTAACAATTAAGAATAGGGTTTTGGGGTTTAGGCCCCTTAATTGTCTGCCGCCATGGTGCTCCGGCTAGCTCGCGAAGCCCGGTCTCCCACAGCATCCTGGACATTCGATCAAGTCATGGCCGCTAGCCCGATAGCCAGCATTTTGACAGGTGTCGCTGACGGTGATGACGATGACGACGATGCCGATGATGTTGCTGTTGATCATGATTGCTGTGATTGTGCTGGTCGTGGTGCTGCTTGTGTTGTCGATGTTGGTGGTGGCCGCGGCTGTGGGGATGGCGGTGGTTTAGACGATGAAAGTGATGACCACGGTGATGATGATGACGGCGACGGTGAGCAGGACGAGGATAAGGTGACCGTCGTCTAAATCGCTTTAGTCGAGGTTATCGTCATCATCATCATCATCACCATCATGATTATCCAGAGAACAACAAGTTTCGTTGAGGGGCCTTCCTTTAGTAGCAGCTCACGACTCGGTTGTGTCGATCGACCATGGTCGTTGCCTTTGATGCCAGATGCCTTTAGGAAGCCTGCACCTGTCAACTCGCATCCGACATAGATGCATCCGCATCGAGACCCACCGAAAGATGTACTTGCAAGCCGGGCTTGCTGTCAGGCTAGAAACAAGGACACGTCCAGTCTACGAATGGGTGGGGAACAATGCATACGTGAACTTCGCCAGGCGCCTCGGAAATCCTACAACCGCAAATCCAAACTTCAAAGCAATGTGCACTGAGACCTATCATGCATGCTCGCCAAGAAGCCATCCCACAGCATCGAAAAGACGATCGGCCTCATCTGCCTAGAAAGCAGAGGGATCCGGTAGAATCATATCAAACATATCTGAAGTAAGGGGTATGTTGGGCTTCACAGCTCTGGGTGCTACGACTGACGAGATATCCGAGCTTTAGTCTCGAAACCGTCAGGCAGTCAGCCGCACCTCGCGATGGTGTCCAGCTGCTGAAGCACAGCATAAGTGGATGCGCCAGCAACATGTATCTGACTGAAACCCAAAACCCTAAACCCCTAAACCCCTAAACTCCCTAAACCCCTAAACCCTTAAACCCTAACCCCTCCCCCAACCCCCCCCCCCACGACACGGTTTAGGGATTAGGGGATACTAACCCCTGGAACCCCAAGTCCACCAAATTCTAGGGTTTAGGATTCTATAAGGTTTTGGGTTTAGGGTTCTAGGGTTTAGGATTATAGGGTTTAGGGTTTCGGGTTCTAGGGTTTAGGATGATTTTTTGGGGTCCAACACAAGAGAGCCTTCAGTGCCGAGTTCGTGAGCATCAGGCGCAGCTGCTTCTCCAGGGTGACTGCCAGCCACTGCTGCATGGCACGGGTCATGAAGCAGTCCGCCTCTCAAAGGGCCGTGGGTTTGGGGATCAGCGTTTCAGAACCCTAAACACTGATACCCTAAAGCCCTATATAGACTCTAGACCCCTAGGGCCATAAGACCTAAACTCCCGAACCCGGGGCCTCAACGCCCTAACGGCCCCTGCAACTTAAAGCCAGTGTTTCAAGTGCTACAGTCACTACAGCCCTTAGCCTGAAACACACGGAAGGGCAGCTTCTGAAAAAATATAGATGGGGGTCTCTCTTTGAGGGCCCGGACTTTCTCCAATTCCCACCCTGGGCCTTGAAGAGGTTGAGGCCACAGCCCAGCACTTCGAGGAGTGGTGCTTGCTCTTCATGGACGGTGATGGCATCCTAGCACGTCGAGTCCGGGGACCCAACATCGCACGGTTGAAAGACAGGTTGAGGTATGCTAGCTAATGCAAACTCTCAGAGGAAATAGCACTTGCTAAGTAAAAATTCTTTCCTCTTTCGCAATATCTGGACGGGAACAACTTCAAACTCACAGCCCAAGATCGGACCCCCAGACTACAGCATTTCCACCCCCGCTAACATCCTCCGACCCAGCATTGGCAAAACACTGCAACCGTCCTGGAGCCAACTGCCGTGCAAACCCCGCCATGCCCGGATGGCAGCGTCTTCCCCATAGGCCAGATCCTGAAAAGCGGGCTTTTTGGAGGATTTTGGCCTGATGGCCTGGGGTTTCGAGCCAAATTCTGGGGATCGGGGGTTTATGAAATGGGTCTGGGAGTCTGGGGATTGGACTCACTCCTGCGGAGTCGATTTGGATGCGCTTGTCTTGGCCACGAGTGGGTAAACGATTTGCAGCAATGTAATATGTCTCAAGGCCTCAGAGACTCAACCTCTTGAGCCCTTAGCCTCCCAAACCTAGACCCAGACCCAATCCTCGCGCAGCATCTGTGCGGCCCTGGGTGGCAGCAGCAGCGTCACCTCGCAGCCGCTGCAGCCTCGCAAGCTCTTCGGGAACAATTCAAAATTCCATTGAGGATGTCGGGTTTCGGGTTGAGGACGATGCATAGTGAGAGGTTTAGTTACCCAGGCTGGAGGACATAACGAATCTCCAGGCTGTGATCTGCAGGTTACGATTCTCGCCGGAATGATCGATCACAATCTTGATGAGGCCAAGACTACATGGAACTGCTTTGAGAAAAGCCGGGCCTCTGCATTATCGATGAGCTGTTTTTTTTGCTACGGCTATCGGGAACAATTAAAATAGGGTGGAAGAATTGTTTGTAGTAGTAGTGGTGGTGGTGCTGGTGGTGATGGTGGTAGTAGTAGTAGTAGTAGTAGTCGTCGTCGTCGTCGTCGTCGTCGTAGTTGTAGTAGGAGTAGTAGTAGGAGTAGGAGTAGGAGGAGGAGTAGTAGTAGTAGTAGTAGCAGCAGCAGTAGTAGTAGCAGCAGCAGGAGTAGTAGTAGTAGTAGTAGTAGTAGTAGCAGTATGTAGCAGTATGTAGCAGTATGTAGCAGTATGTAGCAGTATGTAGCAGTATGTAGCAGTATGTAGTAGTATGTAGTAGGTAGTAGGTGGTAGTAGTAGTAGTAGTAGTAGCAGCAGCAGCAGCAATAGTAGTGGCAGGCAGTAGCAGTAGCATCAGTAGCAGTAGCAGTAGTAGTAGCAGCAGCAGCAGCAGTAGTAGCAGCAGCAGCAGCAGGAGGAGTAGCAAGAGTAGAAGCTTGTGTATTAGTAGGGGGTGCTGCCGCTGCAGCAGCGGAAGCAGCAGAAGCTACTGTTGTTGTTGTTGTTGCTGTTGCTGTTGCTGTTGCTGTTGCTGAAGCTGCTGTTGCTGCTGCTGCTGTTGTTGCCTTTTTGTTGCTGTTGCTACTGCTCGATCCTGATCTCATGTTTTCATGTCCGCCATTACTGCTGCGATAATATTTCAGGAGCCTTGCTGTGGATACAGACACAGATACCATCAGGTCAACCGCATTCTGAATCATACCCCAAAGTCGGGCAACATAACCTTAACCCTCGAAGGCCTCCGGGGTCTGCCCAAGCCAGGTTTCTGCGACCGCGCGAAGGTGATAGGCCCTTCCTGAGACAAATTTGGAATGATTGGGGTTACGGTTCTCTGGAAGAGCAGATTTGGCAGTCCCTAATGGATAATTCCAACGCCCTGCGAGGTGCAGAGAAAGGAATGGAGTCGGAGGCTGTGGTTCAATGAGCCGGGCCAAGGGTTTCGGATCTAAGCACGGCTTCGATCGTGCTGCCGAGGTCCAACGGAAATTGACATGTGGAAAACAATCTTCAACAACTGTTGAGAGACGTTTGTACCTCTTTTTTGTCCATGTTGCAGGCACTCGAAGTGTTTAGGTATAGGTCCGTATAGGTTTTATTTTGCCGCGGAGGCGGCGGGACGCAGGACGCGGGACGCAGGACGCAGTACGCGGGACGCGGAAAGAGGGCGTGCTTAAGATATATACCGGAATCGCCGAATGAGGAGGCGTGCTTGTGATGGAACCAGAATCACCAAATGAGGGGGCATGTTTCAGTTATATGATGAACCGAAATCGCCAGAGGAAGGGGCGCGTTTCAAACCTATATGACCCGGAATCGCCACATGAAGGAGGGTGCTTAAGATGCATGATGAGCCGAGATCGGCAAACGAAGGGGCGGCTAAGATGTATGATGAACGGCAATCGCCAAATGAGGGGGAGCATTTAAGATATATGATATCTATATATATATATAAGTTGATGATGAACCGGGATCGCTGTTGCTATTCCTTTGCTGTTGGTGGTGGTGTAGTTGTGTTGCTGCTGGTGTTGTTGCGCGCGCCCCGGCAGTGGGCGCCCAGACCGTTTACCACATGGCCGCGGGCCGCTGGCGGGACGCAGGACGCGGGACGTGGGACGCGGAGGCAGGAGGACGCACGAGAATTAGCCCACTATGAGCCTCGGTGTTTGTGGAGTCTTGTCCGTGCAGCTACGATGCACGATGAGAGATGCTCTGACAGTCTTACCCCTCAGCATGATATTGCGCCGGCCATCGACACAACATTACAGAAGCCAGGCCACGGTGATGTCGTGCTGCTGTCAGCCAGCCGCAATGCCTTCAGTCTGAACACTCGACCGACTCCGCTTATGAGAGGCATAGAACAACTTTACCAGACCGAGTAGAAGGAGTGCAAGCAGAGTAGACTACGACTAATACTACTGCTACTACTACTACTGCTACTACTACTACTACTACTACTACTGCTACTGCTACTGCTACTACTACTACTACTACGACGACGACGACTACTACTACTACTACTAGTAGGGCAGGGCAGCAGCAGCGGCAGGAGTTCCCAAACCACCAAAAAATCGCTTGTTAAAGGTGCGGGAAGCTCAAAATGGTGGTTTTGGACCTGGTCAGGGCAGGGGCAGCAGCAGGGCTTGCTTTACGGGCGATGATCGGGAGTGCAATTAAGAAATGTACACCAGACTCTCGGGAGGGAAGTATATTTCTTATTCG